AATGAAATCTTAAGAGACTCCTATTTTTCCTTTTTTATTTTGGGATGTTTTTATACCGACAATTACAGGATAATGAACAACTTTGGGTTAGAGGTTTCCCAATAGCCATCTATCACAATATTCCGGACTCCACTCAGTGTTGACAGACTGACCTACATTGTGTCTGTGGCCATATCAAGTTGTCATTAATTTATTTGGAAGTTGCAATGTACCTTTTACAACAGTAATTCTTTTTCTGCTTCAATTTTATTATACTGTAATGGGTTTAATCCAGAGTATTTTTGTCTTTTTAATGCTATATATTTTGTAGTTTTTTTCACTTTCATAATTTTAAAATAAATGTCCAAACTAATAGATTTTGAGATTTCCTATGATGATGTTTACATTCCTCTGTGTTTTTTTTCTTTTTTCCGTTTACCCTAAATAGGCGTAGGCCTAGTATCTATATACAGTATAGATTAGCAGCCTATTGAGTCGATCAAAAACTATATTAATCTAGGCCTAGACGGGATGTGATTTAGGCCTAGGCTACTTTTCACACTTATCGTATTGACTTGAGTACTGGTACAGATGAAACATAAAGCAACAACATAAAAAAACTTTAGTTTTGACTTAAATATTTAGTAAATACACAGTAAATTGGGGCCGAGTTGACTTGGGGCCGAGTTGACTTGCGGCCGAGTTGACATGGGCCCGAGTTGACATGAAGCCGAGCTGACTTGGTCCGAGTTGACTGGGGCCTGGTTGACTTGGGGCGAGTTGACTCGAATTCGTATGTAATTCATAAATTGTTTTAGGTCCTTGGCCAAAAGTAAAGGCTACAACTGCCAACAAAAGGCAAAGAATGGAACCGTCACGGTCTCCAAAGAGTTGTGACAGGCCTGTTTAACACGCGCAAACATACAATAGGAATATATTTATCGATACAACAAACAATGTGAAATTACTTACCTGTAATATGTAATTACTTCTATCAAAAATAATTAAATCAGCTTTTTTTTTCACTTTCAAGTTCAGTAATCTTGCAGTCACGTCAAGTCAACGGCGAAGAAAGGCGCGCTGGATTCTTCGCGCTTTCGTTTTTTGCTTGACCAGGCGATTAGTCTGCTCCTCGAGGTGTTGCTATTTATGCGCGTGTATAGGCCTAGGCATATACAGATGTTCTATCATTTCTTAAACACTAATCATTTCCTTAATGCCATAGAGTGTTTTATATTAGTTTGTGTAATATGTGTATGCAGTTAATATTTTTAATCCTAAATTGCATGCCAAAATAATCATTACCACCAGAATTAATGGTATCAACTTGTTGTTTTGTTTTGAGGCCAGATCACGTTCAATCTACCATATGTCAAGGTATAGATTTTGAGTGGACAAAATTGCAACAAAAGGTTTTCTTAGCTGATATGACAGTTAAATATCTAAAACAACATAATAAAAATCGGTCAAAATCTGAATTGGAAAATGACTTTTTTAAGACAGAAAACAGCGAACTATATTTTTTCTTTTCTTAAACTGTGTGTTAAACGGTTTGGCTAATTAGCATATGAAATTCATGTATCTGATTGGTAGAAAGTCTGGTCATCCATGATCAAGGTCAAATTACGTCATCTTGTTTACGTTTTTATATGCGTTGACTTCCTGGTACGCTTACCGCGGCGCGGCACACGGAGAGTGTAGGCCTGCCTAGGCCTACATTTCATATACTTTTAGTTTGTTATTGTTTATGCATTGGATTTTTTTCCTGAATATATCAAGGAAGATGGATCATCTGATAGCATAAAAATATGTTTCTGATGAGGAAGAATTCTCTACATTCGTGACAGGCCTAGCTAGAGAAGCCTAACAACTAGGCCTAGGCCTACCTGCATATAGCTGACCAAGGCCATATGCCTCTCACTCACTAGCTAGTCTAGCAACAGCTGAGCTCAACGACGTTTACGTTTATGAATTCGTGTAGACCAAAACCCAATTCCGTGATTCTCTTTTTTTTTTTAAAGGAAATAATCATTCCAATGTCACAAAGTGTCTTTGTAAAAAATTTAAATATGTAAATCATTTTTTTTAATTACCATGGGACATGGGCAAAATTATCGTAGGATCACAGGAAACAGATGTTTCAGTAAAATCTTTTTAAATTAGTGGTATCAACCAAACTCATGTAAATTTCTTAGGTTCAGTTTGTTAAAATTTAAGGAGATTAAGGTAAAATACGTCACATCTACATTCACGAGATGAACAACGTATTTGGATCGTCATTTTCATCGTCTGGTTGTTATTATAGGACTATCTATGATAAATTGGATTTTTAAAAATAGATGAAATGAAATGTCTAAAATTCTCCTCCGACAAATGCTTACAGCTGCATAATAAATTAAACAGAAATTTATTTTCCTGAAGTCTTTGAATACTTCAGAAAGAAAAAAAAACCAAAAAACATTTAAAAATATTGTTTGTATAGACAGATTTTTAAACTAATTTCTTGAACTGTTGGCATGTTAATTCAATCTACTGGTTCAGTTCTCTTATTAAACTATCTACAAAAAAAATTGTAACGTAGAGGAAGTGAGAAAGAGAATTAGATGACTCAAAGTCAATAGGCCCGCACAAACAGTAATGTCTAAAAACAAAATTGTGATTTCTCACAAACTCCGTACTCTTCTGACCCATTATCATCGTCGTCATCCTCGTCGTCGTCATCATCATCATCATCATTATTCATCTATTATACCCTCTCACAGTTGCCACACAAATACCAAATGCCCGATTGCACATGCAAAAGCCTTGTCCTATCGACACTTAATTTTTGTGTCTTGATATTGAATACAAAAAAATACTACAGTATATTAAAACGTAAATTCTAAACATAATATCGTCAAACACTTTCACTTCTAAACACCATTTGTAACAAGCACGAATAATTAACACAATATAATTTTTTATTAAACACAATGGTGCTTACAATCAAAACGTAAATTCTACTGAACAACTGAACATAATATAATCAAACACTTTCACTTCTAAACACCATTTTTAATAAGCACAAACAATTATTAAACACAGCAATAAACACAATGGTGTTTAAAATTGAAACTCTCATTCTACTAAGCATACTATCATCAAACACTTTCACTTCTAAGCACCATTTTTAATAAGCACACACAATTATTAAACACAGTAAGTGTTTTATTAAACACAATGGTGTTTACAATTGAAACGCACATTCTACTAAGCATAATATCATCAAACACTTTGACTTCTAAACACCATTTTTAATAAGCGCGAACAAAAAATAAACACAATAAGTGTTTTATTAAACACAATGGTGTTTACAAATTGAAACGTTAACTTTACTAAATACAATATCTACTAAGCACGAACAAATCTTAAACACAAAAAGTGTATAACACTTAAACACTGATGTTTAGGACGTGTTTAGAAATGTGCTTAGAAATTGTCATTACGTTGCCATATCCTATACTGAAAGAGCTAAACGGATTGAACAAGTGTTTTATAAATGGTTGTGTTTTCATTGTAAACACAAGAAATGTTTAGAAATGTGTTGATGTGTTTTAAAATGGAACATAATGCTAAACATGTTTAGGAGTGATACGTGTATTTTATGTTTCACAGCTAAACATTGTTTTTACAGTGTAGTTTGCGTCGTCGGTTCCCACTTGGAAGCCGCAATACCCTCGCGTTGCGTCACTTTGCGTCGATACGTCGCGTTTGCGTCGCTGCGTTGCGTCCTAGTGGGAACCAAGCTTAAGGCTGCGGCTCCCAAGAGACCGGTCCATCAACCACGGGCCGAGCCGGATGTTCAAATGGAATATACTGAGGTGGCAGCGGAAGTAGCTAAAATTCTGAAGGATGGAGAGTCCAGTGGTCAAACACAAAGAGGCAGTAGGAGTTCACAAGACAGTGCACCACAGGACGCGAGTGTCTCTCTAGTAGAAGACCTCTTTCATGGTGAAGGAAATACTCCTTCCATCACATTGTCAATGACGGACTCGATAGCCCTAGGTAACAGTGTACCGTTGGCGGTAAAGTACAAAATATGGTCCAACGTGTACATTGATCTCAAATCACTGGTAATAAACAATCTTGACAGTACTTTCTCAGTGACGATTGTCGACAACCAATTGAGAGTTGAGAACAACAGTAAGAAGAAGGTGCTCATTATCATTGCATGCGATCATTTACAATTTTTATGTCAATCTATATCGAAAAATCACCACATGAATGCTTACATCTGTTAAAATATACTAACAATATTTTAGAACTGTATGCTCTGGGTAACGTAAACTGGCATGTATACGATGAGTGTTTTCGCAGGGCGAGACAGAGTAACAAATTAAAATGGGAAAAACTGCACCCCGAATTGATGATGAAACTAGGTTTCAATGGGACTTTGA